AGTTTTCCTCGGCTGACTATCAGCTTATTCCGTGTTCAGTTCGTGTTCAGTATAACTATACATGAAAGTCTTTGGTTTTAACTTTCAATTATTTAAAGTAAATATCGTTGTGTTCTCTCAAAGGTTTCAGGTGATTCAAAACATCAATTGTTTCGGTGTGAGACAGTTGCAATGCAATATTTAAAGTTGTTGAAAACATAACCCCTATGAAACTTACATTTCTATTGACGACTACATTCCACAGTAGCTTGACTCAAATATACTTTTCTTAATCTTCTTCCCCAAGGCTGTGTGGTGACGGTGACGGGGCGCCTCACATTTGTCAGTAACAAGTCTATGGAAATTGAAGTGCTGGTCGATGCTTCCTCGCTGGTGGACGCAGAGAAAGGGAAATATCGTGCAGTCTCAGCCTTCTTCACTTTCATCTCCCTGGACAAGGACAATAAGCCTCTGCCTGTCCCTCCTCTTAAGGTTGGTACCATATGTTCTCTGCTTTCTGAAGTCAGTCAGTTTATTAAAACCTAAATGTAGAATTAATTTGATTTTATATTCACATAGAGCTAAATTTACACAGGTCTTGCACTGATTGCACTGACACCAAATTTGGTGTACCATACATTGCACACAGGTTTATTTAAAACCTTTTGATGTCTCTCAGTTTTGTATGTGTGAAGGAATCAGGCCATGGATTTTCATCATTTCGTTCTGCTGAGACATTACCTATTACTTATTAGGTCCATACATCCTTTTCAGGTTTGTTTTGGATGAGCTCTGATAAAGATTCAATTAGAAAAGGTATCCTGGGGCGACTTACAGAATAAAAAAACATGATAAAATATACAGAGCAGACCTGTTCTAAACCTCCCTGTGCTTTTGCCTAAAAGAAAGACAGAAATATGTTTTTACAAAATAAGTTATATACACACACACACACACACACACAGCTTTTGCCCTGATAGTAAAATTCCTTCAGTCACCTGTGACTTTGGGAAAGCTAACAGCATGAGAGACACTGTCCATTATTGGGCAATTGTGAACGTCAGTGTCTTTTCACTGCATTAAACTCTTTGCAGTGTCTGCGTATTATCCTTAACCACTGAGGGCTGAATGCTAATATCTCCACAACGTCCCTAGACATCTATGTCTTGCTGACTCAGCACTAGTTGTCAGGATGTAAAGTGTGCATGTTTACCTGCAGACTGGAGAGAGGCGCCTGCTGTTTGTTCTGGCTCTGCAGTACACGATGATCCAAAACCCTGTTTATATGCAAACACTGTACGCACGGGCCATCTGTTTAACTCAGCACATTTAAATTATTTCCTGGCGCCATTCACGCACCCTTATTGTCTCTGTGATGATCGCTTTAAAGCTCGTCCAACTTTTGTGTGAGATGAAGTCAGCTTGTCAGCAAGGGGGATTTAGACAATAGAGGGTCCATTAAAACCACAGTCAAAGCACCAAATGAAGCACTTAGTAGATTTCAGTTAGATTTAATATATTTACATTATGTTTATTTAATTCTAATGATAAAGATTATCACACAATTCATATTCTGTTTGATGACTTGGGTGCTTCTTGTTTGGCTGAAAGGTTTTGTTGATGCCTTACACAACATGTTATGAACCAGTTTCTTGATAAATCCGGTAATGATAGCATTGCTTTTTAGTCAGGCCAAGTCCATAACAATGGCATAGGCTGAGTGGTCAGCTTCAGTGAAATTTGACAGACCAACAGCAGGTCATTATTCTCTCAAGTGCACACTTGTACAAAATTCAGAGTGTTTGCACCTGAGCTAATCATTAAACTTTAAGTATGTGCAGAGTACTGACTAAGCCAGGAAAGTGCAATAAAAGACCAAGCAGCCATATTTAAAGTAACAGAAGTCAAGCAAAAAGCTGTTTTATGAGTCAACCTGCATCCATCCTCTGCCTAAATCAAAATAATGAACCCAAGCATGTAATGATCATATGTTTACTACAAATAGCTGTCTAACTCACCCTAAGATCTTTAAAGAAAAGTGGTGCAATACAGCATGTCCTGCTATGTTTCAAGTAACACAAGTGTGTAATAAGACATTTGCAGGAAGAAAGCCAAGTTGGGCAGCGCCGATGAGAGTGAAGCATGGAAAAGCGTTGTTATAGGTGTGTTGTCATGCCGCCAAGTGCTGCAGTGACCCCTCTTACCATAAACATTCACACACACTTAAAGGTGCAGCATCAGACTTTAACACTGTGACATGTCTATTTGAAAGCAGCCATCTCTGCTTCTGCCCCTGCCAGACAAAAATATGCACCCAATGTGCATCTCCGCTGGTCGGCCTTTTCAAAAGCATCTGTCAGTTTCCGAATTTCCATTTCACAAACCCCCGCGTTTGGTTCGCCCATTGTCCGCTTCCCTCCGTGCATTCATTACCTGGTTTTCCATCTTGCGCAGGCTGCTCGTGGCTTTTGTTTTAATAGCAGGGAATTGCAGCTATGATTAGAGTCATTGTAATTCCTCTCTTCACCTCAATTTTATGAAAAGAGAGGCTAAAAAAAACTCTTGGTGTATTTAATAATTCATCTTCAACACTATAAATGGAAATCTAAATGGGGCCTGGGCTGCCAGGGCTCTGATGTGGCATGTCAGATAAACAAGGGCAGGAATAGGGAAATTTGTGTGTGTGTGTGTGCATGAGAGAGAGAAAATGTTGGACAGAGATGCCATATAGACAGACTTTATTTGTTTGTGTGTAGAAGAAACACAAATAAGGCATGTGTAAGGGTGTGTGTGAGAGAGTGAGCTCTACGTGTGGATGTGCACGTGCTTGAACAGATCACTGAGCACAAATGCGTTTGCATTTATTTATATGAGCGAGAGAAGGAGGACGAGGCTCAATCATGGCTATTTCTGGCTTTATAACTATTTACTGAGGGCTTATACGTGGGATGAGATTGACCCAAAACAAGTGGGTGCCCATCCAAACTCTATTGATGGCTGTAAAACTATTCATAGATGTCAGTCCCTCTGTGTATTAAAGAGATGCGTCATATCCAGGAAATAAGGTTTAACACGTCAATCCAATTAACACCTGAATTTTCCCTAACAGTGGAGATTGTAGGACTGTGAGGGATGGAAATGCAACGGTGACATTAATTAGCCTCGTAAGTCAGATAATACAGTGCTGAACCAAGCGCGACAAACATTTTGCCTCCCTGTCCTTCCATTTTAATTTTACCTCAGGCTACTACCACCATCTATTATTCAAAATAGTCTCATCAAATTACATTTGCACGTGTGCTTGTTGTGATAACAGTTTTTGTTCTTCCGAATTGGAAAAGTTGAAAGACAAATAAATCTGTGTCGTCTTGCTTCTATTTAGGTACAATAAATTCTTTTCTTTAGTGTTTCTGTTCCCACAAAGATCATCCTCCAGAGAACAAATGACTTTCCTCCTCTGAGTTAACATGACAACATGGCTGGTTGCACAAAATGTTTCTCGTGTTGAGATAAACTCACTAGCTTGTATGGCTTGTAAAGCTGGAAATTCAGCCTTGAGTAGTAAATGTTTACCTGTCAAACAGCCCTTTATTCTTCAGGAAATGCTTCAACTAAACAAAACAAGATATAACGTGTTGAATAGTGAACTTTAGAGGTGCTGGTAGTTTGTACGGAGCCAGGCTAACTGTTTCCAGTCTTTTTGCTAAGCTAAGCTAACCGGCTGCTGGCTGTAGCTTCATATTTACCGTACACACATGAGATTGGCGTCTGTATTCTCACTTAACTAAATCAAAATAAACATATTTTCTTATGTGGTGCTGAGTCAGCTTAAATGATAAAAAAAATCCCCCCTCTCCCTCATATCATCTTCATCTGGTTGCACTGAAACTCCTAATGGCTTATTTTAAAACAAACAAATCTATGTATGTTTTTCTACTACTTGTTCCAGTTGTTTATTCTTTTCCCAGGTATGATTCTAGTGAGGATGGTTCTTTAACATGTGCCTCAGTGCATTAGGACTTTGAATCCTTAATATTGATTACCTGTAGTGATGGAAATCATATAAATGACCTTAATATAAGGGACTTTGTAGAACAGGTCTGCTGCTGTAAATGGTTAAAATGTAACTCTAACCACTAGCTATCTTTACTGTATCTCTCTCCACATTCACCAACGTTATGGAAGCCCAGGTGTAGACACATTTTCTCACTGCTGGAGGTGTTCTTTGGTTTGCCATTTCTCGCAGCACAGGCTTCATGTCTGTTCCTGGCTCCTTTGTGTTCAATTTAAACATAAAAACACCCCCTTCTCAGCTTCACTAATAAAATTTTCATGACACTGTGGCAGATCTTGCTGCAGTTGTGCTCTATAAATAGCCTGATCGAAAGGACAGCTTCTGCTATTTTTGACTGCAGGTGTTTTTCCCCTCATTCTCTCATACTTGCTTTCCCTTGAGTGAGCCCACTGCGTTTACTATTTTTGGATTTTCCTGTTTTAGCTCAGCAGGGGGTTAGGGACTCTGTGTGTGTGTGTGTGGGAGGGGGATTGTAGATGGGCTGTCACTAATGTTAGCATACTGTGGGTAACGCTGAAGTAGGGTAAGAGGACAGCATGAGCAGAAGGGAGGATATCAGGGGGGATGCCTCTCCTCTCTGCAGCAGTACCCTTGAAAAGTACAGAAATAATATATGTGCACACTGGGCCAGCATAAGAATAATCGAAAATGCCTGGAAGCACCTTAGACCTTTGTCTTTGTGGTATTCTGATGATTTTAATGGGGTAGCAGTTGCCTGAAGGTTGGAAAAAGTGGCTTGCTACCAGAAGGTCAGCGCTTCAGCCAGTGGCCAGTGCACACTGAATACCAGCTGTTAGTGAAAAGATGTGGTTGTATTGTTTGGTTACACTGGGCTCAGCCAGAGTGGGGATGTGTGTTACTGTATGAATGAAAAGGTGGTTGTTGTTCAAAACTGTGTGTACGTTCAGTAATCCTTCTGCAGAGGCATAAAGGTTCAAATATATGAGTGTATAGATAATAAGATTCCTGGTGAACATTTGGTCCTTCATAAATCTTGCTTTCTCTTTATTCCTCTCCCGTCTTGTTCTTTATTTCATCATATCTCTCCTTCCTGTCGTCTTCCATTCCATCTCTCTCTTCCTCTCTCACTCCATCCCTCCTTTTCTTTCCTTCTGCTTCTTCCTTCTCCCCCATCGCCCTCCTTCCCTTCCTCCCTCCTTGCTGGCAGAGACTCAGCTGGCCTCCCGTGACACAAAAACAAGCCCGGTTGTCATGGCAACCTCCTGTAGTCCACATGAAGTGATGCACATTTATTTTTAGATGCCTCCCATTCAAGACAATCAGCAACGGGTTAACGGGTACACTTGTGCCAGGGTTGCAGATATTTATGACTCTGTGGTAATCCAAGGCATGGCACAGAGAACATACCGGCATTTGTTTTCACCGTGCATCAGTCCATAAATCTGAATCTTTTAGG